TGTCATTCAGTTTGTAGGAGGTAGTCAAGATAGAGCTAATAAAACACCAAAAAAATTGGTTTTAGCCACCTTGAAAAAAAAAATCCTCCACAGAATAAAACTAAAGGGGACTGAAGGGCGTCTCCTGCCAAGATAAATGCCGTGTTTGTTTGGTTTTTTTTTTTTTGAGTGTTGCCTTGTGACTAACCCCCAAAGAGTGCCTTGGAATCCTCTGATGGTAATACATGGCTGCGTCACTTATCACCATCAATTTAAAAGGGAGCTTTATAAACATCTCTATTTCACTCCTTGCCAGTATCACTCTACTAATGATGATCGGAACTCCGAGACAGGGATTGAAATTAATTCTAGGGGTTGCAACCAAGGCAAGCCAATTAGGAACTGGGAGTAGTGTGGAGGGAAGCTTTAACACGTTTTTTTTTTTTTTTTGGTGTGTTCTTGTTTGAGTTAGCTGACCCATCTTTAGCAACACGTTCAATTACAAAAGCAGATGCTTAAAAAAGTGCATTCCATTAAGAAATGTTTGGATAATGACATACAAGGGAGAACCTACATTATGTATGGTGCACAACTCACAGGCATGTTCTAATCATATTGTGGCAAAAAAAAAATCCGCTCAATCAACTTTTCCCAGTTAATTACTGTTTTCTTTCCCTCCTGACCCTGAATCTTCAACAGTAAGTTCAGTAGGAGGTGACTTAAGACAGACGGTGACGAAAGATCCTATTCTAAACAGCCTCTCTCTAACCTTGGGGGTGGGGTGGAGAGATGTTTGCTGTGATCTCCCAGTCAACCCAGGAGACGCTCATTTGCCTACATTTTTGAAGCTGCATTTTCAAATAGTGTCTTGAGAAAGAAAAGGCTTTTGGTATCAATTCACATCAACACTATCCACCAGCAGTGTGATGTATTATGTATGCAGAAGGGCCCACGCAGAAAGAGAAGTGGCTTGTGTGAGGCAGGGCCCTCAGGGTGAGATATATTTGAAGAAGCAAGAACTTCGGGAAGGACAAAGAACAGACAAGATTTGTAAAGGCCAGGCTTTGGCAGCTCAGGCTCCTTAATGCGGTTTGCTCTCCATCGCCCACCTAAAACTGACCTCAAGAAATAGTTTACTCCAATTATGGAGGATTTTGTCTTTGAAACCTAATAGCACACGACTGGAATTTCCTAACACAGGGGCCACAGAGTCTTGTCGAAGTTCTTTCCTCTATGTATCAGCTTCTACCCTTCTCCTCACTTAGCATATGCCCCAGCCAGGCAGCTGACCCATCCTTGGGTTCCTCCAAATATAACCAGAACAGGACGAGCTGTAGTGCCAGCATCCTGTCCTTCAAGTACTAAGATGGCGATTGTTAACACCACTCAGCATCCTTGTATTGAGGGGTGTTGGTGAGTCTGAGGTCAACCAAGTTTCCCACGTGGAAAGACCCAAGACCAGAGGAGGACATGTGCCAAAAAGAGCTGCTTCTTCCATCCAAAATCAGTCTCTCAATTTCCATCATTTTGAGAGGTCATAAAAAGGTAATGAAGGGTGAGGGTGTCCATTGTTCTGGTCTTGGCAGAGGGCATGTGTGAGGTATTACTGATTATTGACTATGTGCCCAATCTACCCACCAAAAAGGTCCCTGGGTGATGCAAATGGTTTGCATTCAATTAGAAAAAGGATAGTGGTTTGAACCCACCCAGAAGCACCACAGAAGAAAGGCCTGGCTATCTGTTTCCATAAAGATCATAGACATGAAAATCTATGAAGCAGCTCTGCTGTCAGTAAGAATCAGAAATGACATGATGGCAATGGGTTTGGTTTTTTTTTTGTTGTTGTTGTTTTGTTTTAATGTACCACAAAAGAAAAACAGCTAGAAAAGGAAAAGTCTCCTTTTGAACACATTTGGCCTATTATAATTATTTTAACTTGTCCACACAAGTTAAAATACTGTCCAAGTCCTTAAGAGGAAAAGAGATTGATTTAGTGCCCAAACTTTGGAATCAAATACACCTGAGTTTGAATCGCAACACTTTTTGTTTCTGTGACCCTTGGCAAGTTATTTAACTTTTCTGAAACTCTGGTTTCCTCATAGAAGGAACTAAGGAGGACAATAGTATCTATTTTTCAGATTGTCAAGAGAATTAAATATGATAATGCATGTAACTTTTTGGTTAGCACTCAAGAGCTTAACTGAGTGCCACTAGGTTGGTGGTTTAAAACTACTCAGCGGCTCCATGAGAGAAAGGCCTGGTGAACTGTTGCTGTAAAGATTATAACCCAGGAAACCCTATAGGTCTACTCTGTCATATGTGGTCGTCATGAGTCAAAATTGACTTGACAGCACCTAACAACAGCAATGACAACAATGCATACAAAGATTTTGCTCAGTACCTGATGTGATCACACGGTAACTGTTACCAACTGATTATTATTACATAACATAAATACTACCAAGTTTAAAGATTCAAAAGTTTTGCATTGTTTGCCACCAGGCTCCCCTTTGCATTAAACCCATCTAAACATGCTAGTGGATTTCTTACTTTCAAGACAGACTCTGAGAGAGGCCTTTGAGATTGAGTTCTCTTAAACTCCACATTAGACTTTCATGAGCTGATGTCTTTTCACAACAAACGGAAAAGAGGAAACAGATCTTGTGTGTGGAGAAGAGTCTGTTCACCACAGGAGAGTTACATCCCAGACCAGCCAGATCCAACTGGGTCAATAACTGTTCAATATCATTCTGTCCAAACTGATAAGAAAGGCCACACAGAAGAGGGCAAGATGTGATTTCAGATGGTATGAGAAATGGAAACATGCTCTGAAAGGTGACCTTTTAAAAGTCAAGGTCAAGTGCAAAATCTAACCAAAGTCAAACAACTTCAAAGTACAAAAAGTTCTTCCATTA